CCCCTCACTCCCCGCCCCCTCACCCGCCTGCAGACTGCTGCGTGCACTGCATCCTGTCCTGCCTGTTCTGCGAGTTCCTGGCGCTGTGCAACCTCGTCCTGGACTGCGCCACGTGCGGTTCCTGCAGCTCCGAGGACTCCTGCCTGTGCTGCTGCTGCTGCGGCTCGGGCGAGTGCGCCGACTGCGACCTGCCCTGCGACCTGGACTGCGGCATCCTGGACGCCTGCTGCGAGTCCGCCGACTGCCTGGAGATCTGCATGGAGTGCTGCGGGCTCTGCTTCTCCTCCTGACCCGCGGAGCCCGCCCGCGGGGCCCCCCAACGCCGGCCACCCCGCCCCCTCCCACCCTTCCCTCACTGCCTTCTCTGCACCCCCACCCGCCGAGAAGGGGCCGCTCTGGGCCACCTGGGCCACCGGAGCCGGGCCAGGCAGGCAGCCCGTAGTCCTCTCTGGTTACCAGGACACACAGCTCCACCTGCCTGGGCTGCAGAACACTGTGAAAGTTGGGGGAGGCCAGGGGGCGCGGGAGGCCGTTCGGGGCTGCCGCTTCTCTACCTCTCACTGCTCCTGGGCCCGCCTCCCCGACACCCCGGCTTAGAGGACAGCAAAATGTGAAGAGACACCCACCCCCCACCTCGGCCCAGCCCCTCTCCCCTGTCCTCCTCCCTGGTCTCTTGCCGGGGACCTGACCCTACAGTGACTCAAGAGGGCAAGTTGGGCGTGGATCTGGGGCAAGCGGGAGAGGAACCATATAGAAAAGACTGGAAGGGGAGCGGGAGGGACAGAGGGAGGGTCCGTTCTATGTGTTGCTGTAAATAAAGATATTTGTCCATCTCAGATTTCCACAGGACTCGTGAGTTATGTCCCCCGACCACCACTCAAAAGTGCACACTCCACAGACCCCTGCAAAGCACCCAAGAGGTGAAGGATCTCCTGCTTCTGGGCTTCTGCCTTCCTTGCCCTGAAAGCTGCTGCCCTTATGGGTTCTTGTCCCTCCTTGGAGACAGAAAGAAGGGGATACTGACTCCTCACCATCATTTTCTTCCTTTTACCAAAGGGAAGGAGAAGCCCAGAGAGGAAAGAGTTAACTCTTGGCATAGAATTAATTAACAACAGCTGTGTTCAGGTTTTGATTAATTAATCTGCTGACTCCCCGTCCAAAGCCCTTCCCATGCTGACTACAAGGCACAGGGTGCCCCCTAGGTGAGGGCAGAGAAGTGCCGCAGGGAGGTGGCAGCCCTGAACCCACCCACACAGGACTGGAGGCTGGGATGGCGGGGATGGCGACAGTCTTCCCCAACATCAGCAGGCTGGTGCCCTGGCTTGTGAGAGAGGGTAGGGAGGGCTGGCTGGCTGGAGACCTGCCTCACCCCGTCCTGAGTCAGGAGGAAGCCAGGAGGGGTCCTGGGTGAGAGCTCATGTTGGGGCTGGACTTCACTATCCTCAGAAGATATGGTTGAAGCAAGCCAGGAAGACTGGAGCCATCCTGGGAAAGTGGTGGGCAGGAATGAACACAGGTAACAGTCTCAGAAAGGGGGGCTGGTCTTAGGCTGGGTGGCAGTTGCAGCCAGAGGAGCTGTAAGGGGTGCCCTGGCCCCCCGCTCCCCTAAACACACACACACACACACACACACACACACACAAGTGCACCGGCCTCCACAGCACAGTGAGATTTTCTGAACTCTGGGACCACATAGGAGACTCAGGACACAGAGGAATTCACCTGTCCAGGGTCACACAGTCAAAATCAAAGCCAGGATAAAAGTTCCACCTGATGTTCATTTATTTCAATTTGTTGCACACTTATTGCTTGCCCAAAGCACAAAGATTCAATGTGCTGTGCACATGCCAGCATTTAAACTTATTTTCTGTATTTCCTTTTTGCAGAAACATGGGGACCCTTTACGGATGCCCCCCCACACCGCCCCCACGTTTGTCACTTAACCACTTATCTCGGGCTCTCCCTTATCAGCGCAGTAGGGAGGCAGCCTGGAGTCAGCTCCCTGAGGTGCAGGGGACACCCCCTTCCTTCCGTGCTGCAAACATAGTGGTCTGCACATAGCCTTTCTTTCGCAGGATGCGCTACAGCCGTGAAATGTTTCTGAAAACGGTTGCTGGGCCAAAGGGGCCCAAGTCTGCGACTCTGACACCGTCACCCAGTCCACCCAGGACCACAGGAGCGTCCACTTCTCTCACTGCTACGCCCCTCCGTCCTGAGGACAGACAGTGTGAACGTGGGCTCCCCTTCAGCGAGGCCCAAGCTCGGGTCTTCCCCCAGGCTGGGGTCTGAGGGGCTTAGGGAGGCAGGGAGGACGGGGTGGAAGGCTCTGCTGGCCAACTTGAGGTCTGGTCCAGGTGGGCAGGAAGGCCCCCTCCCTGGCGCTCCCCCCTCCAAAGGGGCCGCGGGGGAGGGGGAGGGCCGTGGCAGGAAGAGGCACCTCTGCAATCCAAATAGCGATTTCCTGCTGCAGCTCTGGGCGGGTTTCTTTAGGACAGTGGCTGAAACCTGAGAGGCTGAGCTGGGTGGGGGCAGGACAGGAGGATTTAGCACCCTCTTCCAACACACATGCATGCTCTCACACTCACACAGACTCTCCATTCAGTCACATACATTCCACAGTCTCTCTCACGCACACGCACACACACACACTACACACACTTCACATTTCAGAGCCTGCAACCCCTGCCAGCCCTGGCTGGCCCACTGCCCTGCAGACCCGTGTCTACTGGCCCCTTCCTGCCCCGCAGGCCCACACCTCCCATCCTGCCAGGGGCCTCATCCCCGCTGAAGCAGACAGCACTTGTCTTGGATGCCCCTCACCCAGCTCTGCCCAGATGCCCCTCAGGGTAGTCCTGGGCCACCCCTACCACAGCTCCCAGTCTGCTGACCGAGAGGTCAGTGCTAGCCCTGTCTCTGCTGTGGGAGGTGAGGAAGCAGCGTTCCAGCTCTCAGTTTCTCTGTGTAATGAGAGTCTGGGAATCTCAATGGTTGTCACAGTATTCAGGGAAGTAGCCCTCGATTACAAACGGGTTTTCTTTTCTTTTTAAAAAATGTATTTATTTATGCATACAGAACGGGTGTACAGGCCAGAGGTGCAGGGGCAGTGAGAGGATTCACCAGAGACAGAGCTGGAAGCAGATCAGGCAGATCAACAAAGTACACTACTGAGGGGAGCAGCGGGCGAGGCAGGAGAGGTCTGCCGCGCCACGTGGGTCAGCTCTGGGGCCCAGGATGGAACTCACACTGAAGTGGCCATGGCTTGGCTTAGCTTCACAGTGCAGCGCTCCAACCCAGGAAGGGCCCCCAGACTGGTTTTCTTCATGTACAGAGTGAGAGATGGCCTCGCTGTTGCCCAAGAGATGTCCTGAGAGGTCACCCTCTTCCCCTGGGCTGCCATTACCAGGCTTGGAGGAGAAGGTGGTGAGCCCAAGGTAAGGGCTTTCTGGGTGATCTTATGTACCAGACCCAAGAGATTTCGCCCCAGAAGCTAGTAGCTGAGCAAGGGGCTGGCTTGTGAGGGGAGGGGTGATCGCCAGCCCCTTGCTTCCACAGCCCAGAAGCGTCTCCCATTCCTCAGCACAATTCATGGGCGGTCCTGTTTTCGCACCCAGCGCTAGGCACAGGAAGCATCAGGTCACCTGGCCAGCACAACTCTGAACAGTCCTGCCCCTGTGTCTTCCCCAGGCA